CGTAGACGTGGAACAGCATCTCATGTAGGATACTATTTCAAACGTGCACTAGTGAGCATATACTGAGAGGGGATTATAAATCTTCACTGGCACAATAAATATGAAAAGAGATAAAACAAATGATCATTTCTTAGGTACAATATCTAGATTTACAATATCTAGTTCACTCATTTCAACTTTGTATAGCGATGCATGATAGAAAACAGATTTATTTAAGGGTCGTATACTTTGCCAAGAATATAGTAAACTTGCTACTATATTGATGGCTATGCAACTATAAAAACAGGCAGAGAAAAATGTTGGCAAGTGAGGAGAAACCCTCTCTCTCACAGAGACAGGTCTTCATTCTATTTCACATAAATCCTTAAGGGTCTGTTTGAAAATAAGACCTCTCCCTAAGTTTAAATCATACATGAGGGCATTTGCCTTTATGAACTAATTTTCCAAACCACTTTGAAATTGTAAAGGGGGAAAAAGTCACATTCCAACATGCCACTCCTAAAAGCAGTGTTTTTAAACACAGCTCGCCAACTATAAAGAGTAAAGGGGACCTTTCTATTTAGTAGTTGATAAATCAGGTGCAATAGCCAAATCCTGAGGCAACGGCAAGACTGACTGGGGATCTGGTACAGTCAGAGTAAGAAATGATGCTCTGCAGCAGCTGTACACAAATCTTGAAGGATTACTAGATGGAAGGGATATCCACCCACCCAGCTCACAGAACCCCCAGACAATGCAGTGGCTTTGAAAACAAATCTACATCACAAGGGAATTACACTGAAATGTCTGAATGAAATTATTTTATGATATAGCCAGTCCAGAATAAAGCATTTGGGGTACATGTCAACAAGCAAGAGGCTTTCTGAAGAGGTAGATGAAAGCAGTATTTCACAGCAAGTTTGCTGCCAGATTTTTACAAAAGATGTGCCTACGCCTCTCAGCACAGACCAGAAGGTAAGCTATTGTTGAAAACCATCCATGGCAGTGAAAAGAGATGTTTGCCCCACATTATTTCAACTTTATTGGAAGAAAAACAGAAAAGACTGCCATTTCTTTAAATAACAAAGTATACAAATAAAGGAGCAGAAATGATATGGAATGTTTTGATGAAAACAAACTTATAAATTCATAAATAATATAAAATGCTTTTGTGCTAAAATAGAACTCTTCTTTTACATATACATATATGTAGTTCAGCGATCTTTGTTACCCAGAATAAGCCAAATCTATTACAATTAGTTAAAACATAGAAAAATACAATTGAACAATAGAACTAAAAAAATGGCCAGTGTTCACCTTATAAACCACATATAGTATATACATCATGGAATATAATAAACTAAGAAACAAGAAATTAAATTTCAAGTCCTTCGTGATACAAATGCACAATTAGGAATGTTTCTCCATTCCATACCCTTACATCAGAGACAGTTTATATTGAGGACAAAACAAAAATGGAAGCACAGTTACCAATTTTCAGAGAAGACTTTGGGCTTGTTAGATATTAGAGAGCTAACTCTAAGAATCTGAGTTATTTAACTCTAAAATGAAGGGTCCTTTTCCCATATGTTTTTGATGAAATGCATATACTGTCAACCCCATTTTCTGCAGATTTTTGTTTGCTTGTTTTTAATAAAGGCAATTTAAAATTGGGGGTCCTGGATTTATCAATCAGTATTAACACAGGCAGGTCAGGAACACAGCCCCTTCGGGCCGACTGCAGGAGCCAATATCCCTGTCCTGCTGTGAAGGAACTAAAATCCATATGACCTGAGAAAAATCACGGAGCATCACTTTAGAGTTCAACTTTCATTCATTCCATAGTAAAAATCTTTTAAATGTGTCCTAGATAAAAAAAAAAAAAATTCACATTACTATGAATTTAATTAATTCAAGCTTCTCAAGTAAACCTTATGTGGGAGGGAAAAATCATGTTAGATCTTTAGGAAAACAATTTAAGGTATTAAAGTTCCCAGTAGAAACAGGCATGGCACAAACAGCAAGGCTGGTCCTGTTATTCTGGGGATTTTACTAGACCTTCAGTGGATCCCTAACAATGCCCCCACTGACCAACTGGGTGGTACATTCACAGTGACCCTGACAACCCCCCTCCACCTTCCAGGGCTGCAAGCGTACGCCCAAAGACGACAACGCCACGGTCACCCTGGGGTCCTGTGCCTTCCCAGAGGGTGCCGAGGACACGCAGGGGCAACCTAACTTCCTTGGAAAGTCCTGATCGAAAGCCAATAGCCTCTGGGCCGCCCCGTGGCGCACTCGGGAGAGTGCGGTGCTGGGAGTGCAGCGCCGCTGCCGCCGCGGGTTCGGATCCTATATAGGAATGGCCGGTGCGCTCACTGGCTGAGCACCGGTCACGAAAAAAAAAAAGAAAAAAGAAAGCCAATAGCCCCTTAACATATTCAGCAGCTCCATATTTAAAAATAAAGTGTTCAAGTCTTACAATAATTATTATTGTAATTATAAGGGGGAAAAAACTCCTTTGTTATAAGGGAATAAACCCCTGCCTACTTTACCGCAATCATTTCCTTGGTGTTTTATGGTGTAAAGGGAATAATTTTTACCAGTAAATTAACTCCTTTCTCCCTTCACCCCATTTCAACCACTGTTCTTCTCTCTGTGACACCCACTCCACCTGTCACCATCTGAATGAAGTCCAACTCCTCCCTGGGACAGGCAAGCCCACCTTCATGTGGGGTGGGGAGGAGTTGATTCATCAAGCATCTCTGACACATTTCCCTGAACATAACTGAGAAAAAAATCACATAGGATTAAATCATACAAGATAAGCCTTGTCTTACACCAGCACATTCCAGAGCATTTTCACACATTTATATCATGCGGAAAAGGTCGAACTTTGAGAATTTTGTTTTCTTTTTGATGTGTTAAAATTTTGAAACATTTATTGGAAAACTCAATTCCGCTGAAAAGTCAAATATATTGAATTGGCTCAACCACAAATTCTGAGTGAAATTTTAAAAGTTATCAGAGAAAAAAAACACACTTTGATCCTTTTAATCTAGTTAAGTCCCATTGTCAATTGGTAAACGACTTTTTTTAATGGTCAGTGAGGCCTGAAAACGATTGTCTCTAATATCTGCCTGGCATTTTTCAAACTGCAAGTCAAGCTAAATCTTGTTTGTCAACAAATAGGTCACTGTGTGCTGTTGTTACTGTCTTCCTCGAGCAGATGCTTCCTTTCCTCAGTGGGCCTCCCTCAACACTGTGCCTCTTCTTTTTATATACAGAATTTGGAATATAATGTCAGTGAATTGACCTTTCAGAGGCATGCATATTCTGTATTAATGATGAAATAATAAGGCAATTTCTAGCAGTTTTGCTGAAAAATCATAACCATGATAAAGAGGGAAAAACAAAGAGTCCCAATGACAGGAGGGGTAAGTGCACCAAAGAGAATGTTTTAAGTTAAAAAGAATAAACTTGATTCACAATTTAATTTATCCCACATGATATATAGCAGCTTAAAGTGATCTATTATTTTCAGCCTTTACTTCATTGATTCCTTTGAATTATGAAATCAGGACTTATTATAATTTTATAAAAATAATATCAACCTCAATTATTTTTCTTGACAATGTCAAAATATCCCAACCATAGAAATCTAAAATAATGAGAAAACTTGGGCTGAATTTTGTCCTTTTTAATGGCACAACTGTAGGAAGGGTCAAACATCTAGGAATTATGTAACACACTAAAAGTCTTCTAAAACAACCAAGTAAACCAAGACTTCTAAGCTGACTGACTTCTCCTTTGATTACATGGTCACCAGATGCAGACACAGTAGTATCTTCCATCTGGTTGCAGAAACACCCCATCACAACATTCTAGCAGAAGACTGGCCTCTCCAGGACTGCCACACCAGACCCCAACTCAACCAGCAACTGCCCTAATGAGGAGCTCATCCTAATCTCACAAAGTACTTTTAATAAATAACATCTAGATGGACTTCTCAAGCCATGTCATTATATAAATCAAATCTGAGTTGGGAAAGTGTAAAAGTTTGCTTGGAATAAGTTTAAGGCAAAAGGGCTCCCAGGATATTTTCCAATTCATATTTCTTTCTAAAAGAAAGATACACCTTATGTTCTACTCTAGAGCAAAAATAATATTGTTGAAAAAGATGTGAGTTGGTTTAATTTCATGGCAAGTACAGGAAAGTTTATTAATCTTTCTGAACACTATGGCATAGCTAATGCCCTGGGTATGAGATGTGAGATGCTAAGCCCAGATTCCAAGGGAGGAAGTCCTTGTGCCTTCTCAGTAGGAAGCCTTTATCCTGTCCAAGGAGGTGTGACGTGTGGCACTTCCTAAACTGCAAACGATCAGTACCTGTGAGCTTGTGATCCAGACAGTAACTACAACATCACAGCTGTCATTAACCAGACCTCAGAAGACACTTGCTCTTTAAGAACAACAACTGCTTACCTGTTTCTGGTATGGTTTTTTTTTTTTTTTTTTATAAATGTATTTATGCCTTCACCTCTCGTGACAAGTGATATGTCATGCCAAGTTCCTCCCCAGGACCGTCTACACACTTCTCGGGGCCCAGCGCGAAATGAAAATGCAGAGCCTCTTGTTCAAAAAGTATTGAGAGCATTAAACTGAGTCAAGCCCCTAAATGACTGCACAGGGCACACCCCATGTATCTGGCCCTGTTCCTGACACTACAATATTCAAGGAAATCTTCAAGGAAGAAACTTCCAAATTAGCCCCAGACACTGTAAGATAAGAGCATTACTAATGAAATATTGCTGACTGTCTTATGCACTTTTATTTCTACATTGACTGAAGGGTTTGAAATATTATACCGAGCTCTCCCAAGTGAGATTAAACTAAAATCATTCATGGCATTGTTTTTTTCTCTACTGGAAAATACTTTATGACCCAAATATTTTTTTAGCTTTGCAAGAAATTTTGAAAGTGCATTGCATTAGAAAGGTATTGAGACACATTAGCTATTTTACCTTCTTCGTGGCCAAGTTGCTTATTTTTAGCTCTCTTCCTGGCCTCGATTTTATCCGTCTCTGCATTTACTGCTTCATAAACTGTTTCTGCTACTTCCTGCTGCCAGCGTTCAGAGATGACCAAAGGGAAGTTCTTGTAGAGTTCTTGGTCGCAATCAAGCAGCTTATTATTTTAAGAAATCAAGATATTTGTGATTTAACATACTGACAAGGGCAACAGTCGTATAACTTCGTATAATGTATGCTATACGAAGTTATTACGGTATTTACTAGTTGTTTATCTCTCTAAATATGCTTTTTGAAAACACATACACACACAGACACACACACACAGGAGTATGCCATTAGAAAAGTATTGAGGAATTAAATGTGTGCTATAATACAACTTTTAAGAAAAGAAGAACAGCATTTCCCCTCAGAGGAATATCTTTATGTTCAGGAATAACTTTTATATCTTATGTTTATTTAAACATACAAACCTCAACCTCAAACATGCTGAAAGATATAGAAAGTTGTGTTAACAAATAAAATTCTAGGCTCCATTAAATATTGAACAGATTGCAGCTCTGTTCACAATAGGCAAGATATGGAAACAACATAAATGTCCATCAACAGATGACTGGGTAAAGAAAATGTGGTACATGTACATGACGGAATACTACTCAGCCATAAAAAAGAATGGAATTCTGCCATTCACAGCAACATGGATGAGCTTGGGAAAAATTATGTTAAGTAAAAGAAGCCAGGCACAGAAAGAGAAATACCACATATCCTCATTCATATGTGTGAGCTAAAAAAGAGAATAAAACAAACAAAAGAAAAAACAAATAAATAAGTAGAACTGTTAAAAGGAGAGAGAAGAATTGTGGTTACTATAGGCAGGGAAAGGGAGAGGGGATAGTGAGAGGGTGGTTAACGAACACAAATGTACAGTGAGATAGGAAACATAAGCCCCATGTGTGAGCTAAAAAAGAGAATAAAACAAACCAAAGAAAAAACAAATAAATAAGTAGAACTGTTAAAAGGAGAGAGAAGAATTGTGGTTACTATAGGCAGGGAAAGGGAAAGGGGATAGTGAGAGGGTGGTTAACGAACACAAATGTACAGTGAGATAGGAAACATAAGCCCTACTGGTGTTCAGTTGACCCAGAAATCTATAATCAATAATGATTTACTGCAGGTAACCAAAGGGCTCTAAGAGAGATCAAATGTGCACATCACGGAGAAATGATTAAGTTTTACAAGGCTAATAATTATGAACAGGCTAATAATTACCCAGAATAGATCAGCACGCGTTGCTTACATGTATTGAAATATAACTCTGTACCCCACAAATATGTACAATCAACATGTTTCAATAAAAAATTTTAAACAATAAAATAAAATAAATATTAGACAGAGTTTCTAGATAGGATAATCACATTATTTCACATATTTCCTCCTGCCATTTTCTAATACTTGCTTCTTTAAAAATAACTGTTAGTTTACTGAAAGCTTTATACCTGAGGGCATTCTTGCTAAGTATGTAACTGATACAGCATGGAGTAAGAAAACATTTTATAATCAGGCAGCCATCCAACTTTCCACTAGGAAAAAATAAGTAAAAACTTACCTCACATTGCAAGACAAATTGCTTCCCTCCTTTTATTCTGAACAAAATGCATTTTTTGTCTTTAATCTGAGTTTCTTCCACAGACAGAATCTGTTCCATTGTCAGTAAATTTTGCTAACCATAAAAATAAAAATGATAAATTACTTCAAATTATTTCATAGTTGCTTAAGTTAAATTAATAGGTAATAATACCAAAAACTACCAGCTTAGAAAAAGGAAAAGGAAAAAAAAACTGCATTTTTCTTTTTTTGATGATATTCTAGAAGTGAGGGGGAAATGGCTACAAGGGAACACATACAAAAGTTCAAATTATAATATTTCAAAGGAAACTGCAAATAAATGTCTCTATAAGGCAAAACAGCAAAGCTGTTCCCTCAACACAGAATTGATTTTTGGGTGATTACGAATCATGAATATACACTCACCTAAATTCTATCCATAAAGTTGTGAGGGAACGAAGAAGCACTCCACGTGATTTACATGAGCAAAAGGTACGTAGTTCAGTTTCAACACAGCAATTCAGTAAATAAATATTTGGTGACATCAGCTTGTAAGCTAACTATATTTTGATAATATCAAAATAATGTTATAAACACAGGTGACATCCTTAAAAGACTGTCACACTATGTCTATAGCATTTTTGCATAAGGTGAATGCTATAATGTCATGAGATTCTTACCATTTTATTTATTTTTTTGGATAAATACTCCAGGAATCCTAAATGAAAAACAACACCATCATAAAGTCTAAAGTTTTCTTTTTCTGTATTTTTACTTACAAGTCCACCCATGCAAATTATGTAGCTTCTCAAACAGAATATTAAATGTTGAATCTTTTAAAACCAAGATGATTTATTGCATCTGATGTTAGACAAAGGAATTTTTTTTTTAAGTTTTCAAATATCCTGAAAAGTGGGACAATTTCCTTTCAATGTGCACAATAGTGACTTTCCAGTAGATACTGTAATAAATTATATTCCAGGTCTGTTCAATATCTGGAAATAGACAGCTTTAGGAAGTTACTGCAAGACTCAGGGCCCCCAAAAGAGTCTTATAAATTGGAACTTAGATCCTAGATGTATTAACTTTTAAAGAATGACTTCAACTGCACAAGTAATAGTGAGATCTTGCTTATTTTTTAAAGAAATGTGGTAATATGCAATTGCAATCATTCACAATTAAATGGCAACTCCCAACAGGGATTTAAAAATACCATCCAAAGTCAAATATAAAGATTTGGGCCTACAATTTTCCATACTTCTCACTACTGGAGAATCAATGGGCAGTATTCTAATACATCCAATATACAAACTATGTTTTCAACATTTGGGACAATCATCCTGCTTACAATGACTAGTCATAACCAAGAGCAGAAAACCAGGCTTCCACCAGGGTTGGCTCCTTCCATGGTGACAAGCTCTGGGCTCCTCACACAGTAGGTGCTTAATAAATGCTTCTTGACTTGCTGAAAGGTACAGTATGGATCAGAAATCTTTTTATCTTGCTCACAAACATTAGCTCTCAAGATGACCTTAGAGGATAACTATATCTTCATGTCTGTTGTATGAAATCCACTTACTAACTTCCAACAAGGTGAGACCAAAGGAAGTACTGTTTAGTGACCTTGCCTCTGTGCCAGGTATCACAGTGTATGACATTTTATTTGACCCGATTAGGGAAGGCTGTAAAATGGAGAGACTGAGAGCACAGGGAGACCTGGGTCTGACTCACTGCTTGGAAAGGAAGTACTGTTTAGTGACCTTGCCTCTGTGCCAGGTATCACAGTGTATGACATTTTATTTGACCCGATTAGGGGAAGGCTGTAAAATGGAGAGACTGAGAGCACAGGGAGACCTGGGTCTGACTCACTGCTTGCTCCCAACTGTCCAGCTGTGTCCTTGGGTGCCAGGCTTCCCCTCCCTATGCCCTGATTTCCTGTTTATAAAATGAGGGTCGAACCCTCAAAGGCTGCTAAATAGATTGAGTTTCATTTTTTACAGCACCTGATCTCAGATGAACATGCAAAAATCATAGTAGTTTTTATGATTTCTATTTCTCTCATTTCATGGAAGAGGAAACGGAGTCTCAGAGAACCAATACGACATACTCAAATCCCCAGAGACATGGAACAGTGGATTTGAACACCTCTGTCTGCCTCCAGAGCCCCAGCTTTTCTTTTCTTTTCTGATCTATTCAACTATTCTCCAGCCTTCTTCAAACCCACCTGATGATGTGGTGCTTCTGATCTCACTAAATGGCACATTCTAGTTGCGGGTATTACAAAGTTCTTCCTCGACTTGGAAGTTTAGAAGTTAAAGTTTGAGGCTTACAGTCTCAGGTATACAAGTTAAAACAGATACACAGAGTTTAGGAAGACATCTCATATACCATGTTGGTAACATGAAATAGCCACATGACATTAAACACACTGAAGAAAGTGGGCGGCAAGGCTGCCTTGGACTCACCCGGGACTCCCCCTCTCCTCTCCATTCAAGTCTATTTGGAAAGAGGTAAAAATAGCGACGCTGCCACTGAGTCAGAAATGGGTTTCCCAGTTTCAGCATGTACCCATGCATAATACAGTCTTTTCCCAGGGCGTAATCTGAAGATTATAAAATAACCATAAGTGAAATAGGCTGTGAAACAAATATCTTAGCAATATTATTCCCAGAAAAAAGAATGACATACTTTTTGGAAAAATCAAGTTTCTATAAACATAATACATTACAAAAATCATTATTTCAGTCTTTAAACACATGCAGACTGGAAATCTAAAAATCAGAGGTTTTGTTGGCTCTTTCTCTACTAACATATTAAATGGTTGCTTCTCAATATTCTGATAAATTCACAATTTTCATTTATTGCTCTGAAAAGGCAAACATTCGTTCCCCAACTATTTTTTCCATCATATGCAATGAGAATTGGAGAATAGAGAATATAGTCATGTGCCACACAAAGACGTTTTGGTGAACAATGGTCCCATAAGACTATAATGGAGATAAAAATTTCCTACTGCCTAGTGACACAATAGCTGTCATACCGTCCTAGCACAAGGCATTACTCACATAGGCACAACAGGGTATCCCATACAGCCTAGCCTAGGTGTATAGCACGCTTTACCATCTAGGTTTGTGTGAGCACACTCTATGATGTTTGCACAATGAGGAAATCATCTAACGATGCATTTCTCAGGACATATCCCTGTCACTAAGCAATGTATGACTGTATTTAAATTTAAGCTATCCCCAAAGGACCTTTGCTTTTAATGGGGGAGTGGGATTCTCCCTTTAATCTACCTTTCATCTTACAAATAATAATAGAATGGAGATTTTCTTGTCTGAGTAAGCTAAGCTAACACAAGGATCAAAACCAGTTCATTCCTCAGCTTAAGGTTAGGTTCATTCCTCAGAACACTCATGTTCAGACCTGATTACATTTTTATGGCGAAATACTGTCTCTTAAAAAAAAAATAGTTTTAAAGCCTTTCTTCAAGGGCTTTGGTGATTGTGCCAAAATCACTCATTCACTCACTCATTTATTCAACAACTATAGGAGAATGACTAGGTGCTAGGCATGTTCTAGGCATTCTGGATTCAGCAGTGATCAAAAGAGATAAGAACCCCTGCCCTCAGGGAGTTTACAATCTCGTGAGAGATTCAGAGGACAAACAAATAAGCAAAACTCAGATTCTGTCACGTGTAGAACAAAGGCAAGAAGTGGTCACATGTGGGGCTTGTGGAGTTGCCATCTTAATTAAAAAGTACTTGTGTTTCCAAAGTATATTTAAAATATAAGTACTAGGGTTTTTTCCCAAGATGTGTAGAACAAAGGCAAGAAGTGGTCACATGTGGGGCTTGTGGAGTTGCCATCTTAATCAAAAAAGTACTTGTGTTTCCAAAGTATATTTAAAATATAAGTACTAGGGTTTTTTCCCAAGATCTAAGCTTAGTCTATATTTTTCTATAAAGGTAACTTCTGAGATCATCAACCGAGATCTAGCTATGCACAAATTATTTACTAACTACGAAGATAAATTCGTTAACTTGTTAGAGGTTCTGTCTAATTACAGCTCTGATTAAAAAGATACACTTCAACAAGGTCTTTAAGATATATATCATGGGGGTTCCAATTTGTCAAGATTC